GGGGCCTGCGGCTTCCGTCGCGGGCCCGGGCGGGGCGGGGCTGACGGCTGGCACCATGGCTGCCGCGCGGGAGCCCCAGGAACCGGAGAGGAAGGTAAAGCACGCCGTGGGTCACGCGGGGGAGGGCGCCCGGGTTCTAGTCCTACCCCCATGGCCGTGAGCTGTCCCAGCGGCCCAGTCCTCCCATCCCGCATGTGAGTGTCCGAATTGCCAATTGATTCAGGTTAGCGAAGAGCAGACCGGCAGGATCGGCATGAGAACGGCGACTAATCCCAACCTAGCACCGCCTTATACTTTGGTAGTAGAGAGGTCATGAGAATTTTCCCAAGAGCTGGGCGAGGTGACACGTACCAGTAATCTCAGCACTTAGGAGGCTGAGGCAGCATGAGTTCTAGGTCAGCCTTGGCTAATGTGTCAGTCTCAGTCTCCTTGCATAACATAGAAGCAAGCGTGCACACTGAGGTCGATTCCCTAACCCATTGAGTATGGCATGTATTGGGCTCTATTACCAAAACGGACAGTCCTTGCTCTTTATGAAGTTGAACAGCTATACTTCACAGAATGGCTGTGAGCAGATAGGTGTGCCCGGAGTGGAGAATGTGATACAAAGCTCGTAGCAGAGCATATGGGCCTTCCTTGGTAGCAGTGGTTACGATTGCCTTCCAAGTAAAATCAAAAGCTCATGGTGCAATGTCTAAAAGATGTCACCAGATACATTTTTATGAATTAAAGAGATCTAAACTATTACTTTTGGAATGATAGTTTGGTAGTACAACAAAGGTAAAACGTGGTTTGCTTCAAGACGAGACTACGTCACGTAGACTTGCAGCAGCATGTGGATATGACAAAAACTTTGAAAATACTTATCAGCTTACAAAATGAATAAGCACAATGAAGTTTCACTAACAGGGAAGCGGGTAAATAGCCTTTAGTTGGAAAACTTGAGCCACGAGGAAGAAACGTTAAAACTACCTAAGAGGGCACATCCAGGCCAGTGGAATAACAAGCCGACATTACTGTAAATTGTTCCAAATGAATGCTGAGACTGAAATGAATTCTAAGTGTACATATCTTGCAAGGCCTTGCCAGCAGTTATTACCCTGCCATGCAGGTGCTGTTTAGAGGCCCTTTAGGTGGTGCTAGTAATCTTGCCATAAAAGGGAACAGAAGTGGTAACTTGTGCTGCAGGTTGCAGGAATATATTAAGAACTCCCCACAGTCCCCGATAAATTTGGTTGAGGATGTAAAGAAGAGTGGTGCTAGTGAGAAGGCTCAGCACACCTCCTGATGAGACAGAATACAACCCCTAGAAACCTTAGGGCAGGACCACCACCAACCAGCTACTGTCCTCTAACATCCCTGCCCCAAGCACCCATCCTCCTTCAGGAGGCAGGACTCTGGTAAACACAAAAGGGTTATTGGGAAAACCACAGGGGACTCCTCAGTGGAGAAGCTTAAGGCCAGGTGTGACCCTTTTGCAGCGCCACTAATGTTCTCTTTAATAGTTGTTTTATTTGCATGTATGCCTGGGGACCAAGTGTCCCCTGAAATTGGAGTTAAGGGGATACCAGGCAGCTTGGGATAACCTGTTCCCTCAAGAACAAACAGCCTGGGCTGAGCCAGCCCAAGTATACTCCAACTGCATTGAGAGCTTTGATACTATCTACATTTCATCTGAACTGTCTGAGCAAAATAAGTTGCAGTGCTTATCACAGGAGGGCGTCCAATTGAAAAGGTCTGGATTAGATTAAGGGCATTGGTGACACAATTTCTTGACACTCGAGTTCCCATCAATAGCACTGACTCCATTCCATGATGTCCTGGATGCAAAGGAATGCTGTAACTCCCCCCCCCCATCATTCTTCTGCTACAGCAAGCCATTTCTAGGGAATGAGGGGTGTTCAGTGTCTCCAGTTTAGGGCAATGAATCCCCCACTAAGTCATGACCTACTTTTTATGTGATCTCATGGCGAGACATTTTCCAACTCTGTATGGGAAGGGAAGACAGCCCACAAAGCTTGGTGTGTGATACAAGCAAAAACAAACAGAAACCATCTTGGAAAGCATACTTTTACTTTAATGAGAATCAAGTCACATTTCATCTTCAAGCAGATCTTGAGCCAAAGGAGTAAGACAGGTGAGGTTCAAGCCCTCCCCCCCATTTTTAAAGGACCTGACCTGCCTTTTACTTTTGCTCTTTTCCCCCAGTCATCACTCCCATTGTAGGTACCATGTCTTATGCAATCCTCTAGCTGCACTGAATGGCATTGTAGAAGTCATTCAGTTATCCAGACCTGTTTTCCAGTGCTGGAATCCAGCACAGAGTGTCTTCTTTAACACATGCTACATTTCTAAATTGCAATATTGATATTGCAGTTGTGCTTTTGAGACTTTTAATTCTGGAGCTCAGACCAACTTCTGACTCAACAGCAGCCCTCTTGCTGCAAGTTTCCCGGATTGCTGGGATGACAATCACAGACTACAAGGTGTCAGGCTAAGAATATCAAAACTAAACTCCGTTTTTTTCACCCCATCCTTGAGCCAGTGAGTGGCAAATATCCTTGGACAAATATTTGGTTACTTTATACTAGAAGTCAAATACATACAACCATATTAACTATTTCTTGCAATTACTATGTTCACCCAGAGTGAATTTTAAGTAGCACTATATTCAAATGTATGGATTCCCAAAACGATAAATTAGATATAGCACACTAAGCAGGTATCTAATAAATGGTGATGTTTATAGTAGTACTTTAACTCTTAAAACTATTTTCTTGTTCAGTCTAGGTTCTTTTTCATTTTATCCTAGACCTTTAAGCTCCTAGGAATTTTAGATGTTGAGAACATTCCATGTGCACGAGAATCTATACTCTATGGCTCATTAGGATCTGTTGTGGCTGGACTTGGACATTTCTTAGTGACCAGTGAGTATTTCTCCTATAGAACATTTCTGTGGTGAAACATTTTCTCCATAGAACATAATTGTACTGACCACGCTTCTTTTTGACAGGTAGAATTAGAAGATCATGTGATGTTGGAGTAGGAGGATTTATCCTGGTGACTTTAGGATGCTGGTATGTTTGCTGGATATTCCAGAAAATTCAGATTTCTTTTGAGACAGGGTTTGTGTCCTGGCTCTCCTGGAACCAGGCTGGTCTTGAGCTCCCAAGTGTTAGGATTAAAGGTGTGCATCGCTACCACCTTCAGAAATCATTGGTGGGCAGGTGTTTTCTCTGTGCTCCTGCCTCCTCCCCTCCTGAGTGCTGCTGGGATTAAAGGCATGAGCCACCACACTCACTCAGCTAAGCAGTTATTTATCAAAATCTATCCTATGACTATTCAATGTTTGAACAGATGAATGGCAGAATAATCATGTTCTACAACAGATACAATTAATCTAAGGTGACATAAGTTTACATTTTATGTACTTATTTTTTTTAAACATTTGTATTTTGAAAGAACACCTTTAAATACAGCTTCAGGTTAGTCATTTTGGAAATCTGTATAAAACTACTTAAAATCCCTTATGTTATTCATATAGGAACTAGTAATTTATTCATTTTTCCTTCTTACAAGGTTCCATTGTAGGTATAATTTTGCTAAGCAAAGAATCCAAGAAAGAATTGCCAGAGAAGGAATTAAAAATAAGATTTTATATGAAAGCACCCACCTTGATCCTGAAAGAAAAATCAAGAGCAATAACAGCAACTGAGCAACCTTGAGCTTAGAAACCCAGAGAACTACTCCTTTGGATCAACCACAAATGTCTTATTGTATACAATAAAAAAACTCTTAAATGTGTGTGAACTGCCTTTGTGTCACTTGCATGAGAACCTTTTCTGGTCTTGGACGCCAGTACAGTATGCTTGTTATACATCTGTCAAATGCAATAAAACAAACAGAATGAAGGAGAAATTGTAACTGAACAAGCCCATTACTGGTCCTATGACTGTTACGATGACCTGAAGAAATGTCTGAAACTATTTTGTTCTCCATCCATCCTTAAACAGGAAAGATTGTTTTCCTTTTGATCACCATGAAGGCCAGGGTACAGACTTGTGTAACTACCAGTCAATAACGGTTTGTACACATGTGCTACTAAAAGTTTTCAGCTGTAGCCACCCTAGGACTTAGCCATTGATAAGTGAGTTTGCAGCATGTCAATGGTTAAATGGTCAATCTAGTATTCTAACAAGCTGTGTACACAGTGTTCTTATGCTCTCTACTAACAATTGCTGATTTAAGTTCTCCTAGCTTTCTCATACTGCAGTTGTATCTTACCGTGAAAGAGAAACCTCTCTTGGCTGCTAACATTTCCAGTATCTTCGATACTTACAAAGTGCAGTTTCACACAGCAGCACAACTGGAGAAACTGGATAAAAAGAGCCACAAAGCTTTTAGTTTTATTGACTTGCCTGCAACATGCCATTATATATACTTCCATGAGCACTAATGTTTCTAATCTTGTACTTTGACAGTCTCTCTCTGCAAGCATCCCAGTGTTGGTATTACAGGAATGAATTACTATGCCCAGCTTAATTCAACCTGTCATCCCATCTAAACAATGACAACTGAGACCTCCTGCACACCACAATTTCCATGTTTGCCAGAAACCTTTGGTAACTTTCCATTTTCCTCAGAAACTGGGTGTGCAATCTCCTATAAAAGGTGACTTTCAGTGGGCCACAGCCTATGTACACCACACCTACGTTTCCCAGGCATAATTTTGAGTTCCATTGTTGTGTCTTTACTAGGTCAAGTCTAAGCAAGACACCATACCATGTCCATCCCAATCCAAACTCTTACACTGCAAATATTTAAAACTCAACTTACCTTCAATGACCTCTCTGCTCACTGCTTCTTCACTGTTCAGATAATCCGAATTTCATACTAGGTGATATAGCAGTAGGTACTAGCTAAATAGCTGGTTAAAATAGAATTGTAGTGTTAGTACTGTTTTGAAGTTTTTTTGCTAGTTTTATCTACCAATCCTAGGCTGTTTTTATTCCTTTCTCCCCTCCCTCAACCCCTCCCTCTTTGACTCCTTGGCTTTTCCATCTCAGTAAAAGGACCTCAGGGAAATTTAATAGAACAGCTTTTTTTCTAGACTTGTGACTTCCTGGCTGAATTTGGCAACAATAATCTCAACTATGCTAAAACCAGTATTTGATTTGCAAGCATCCTTTTAGTCTACGTACCTCTAACTCCATCGGTGGTTTCCCTTTGCTTCGATTATATAATGCGGAGGTCTATATAATAAATTCAGGATTCCTGTTTATGCACTTTTCAGGAAAGAGCTAAGGATCAAATAGGGTTTGAATCCTTCTAATTCCTAGATAAAAATCTGTGACAGGTGTCAAAGCACCCCTTTAAAAGTCATGTTAAATATGCACTATTCTTTGGGTACGCAGACCTTAGTAAGTAGGAAAATTAAACAATTTCTATAATTCTGACTTATAACAGTCCTCTAGAATCAATTTTGAAGCAGCTTAATGGTCTTAATTATATCAGGTCAATATAATAGCCAGTATCCACTACTACCACCCAAATACTGGTATTTTTTTATGCATCTTAACATTAATCCTATTTTTAAGTATTTTGAGAAAACAAAGCTGTTGCAACAAGAATTAGGGAGATAGTTTTCAATGCATTAATTACAGTTTAAGTTTATAGAATAAGCACTACTAGATAAAAAGTTGTATAATCCTGTCTAAGCCTCTCCACGTATGCTGGATAAGCACATGTGGCTGCAAATATTTGGGTTTTTCAACTATACCCTTCCAGTTTCTAGTAAGACATTGACAAAGATTTTACGGTTACCAGCTGGACAAGATTTCTGTTGTTCACTTTAAGTGTAGAACAATGTAACCTTTAAGTACTGTTATCTCTAAAGCACCTGTTTATGGCACACCACTGGAAGACTAATCTGCATGTACTGATAGATTTTCCTGAGCAAATGCTTCTCTACCATGTGAAAACATGCACTGCCAGTGAAACTTCATGCCCATTTACAAGTTTTTCTGCACCTTTTTCTCAAATGAACCATGGTCATAAACCCTTGAAAGCCATTAGGTTGCCTTGAGAGTGCAGCTATTTTTGCTGCATAAACCCATATCATAATTGAAAGCAAGTCCTCCCATTGATTTCACTTAGATATTATTGTAGTTTATATTTTATAGTAAATGCCTCAGGAATGGCGCAACCAAAGTTCATACCAAGTCTCCCATTAATTTTTAGCATCTTGTAGGTTTCAGTTTACTTCATTCAGATCTAATTTTGGACCTCTAAACCTGGTATTACCAGTGTCAAGACAGAAATTTGGTAAGCAAAGGCAGAAAGTACCCTAAAGGTCACTGTTTTGCAATAAATAAGCCTGAGGGTAACAAATGTCTTAAAAACTTAAGACTTGGGTCAAGTCCTTAAATGTATTCCTGTAAACCTATGCAAAATTTGTCAATTGCCAAACATTTCACTCCTGATATAAAAGGCAAAATTAGAAAAGATCTTTAAAGATGTATCCTGTCCACTTGGTTGCCAATAGCTTTGTGTAAGGTAATCCTGGAAACCTAGCATAACTGGTAAACATACAAGCAGCAATTAATTTGAATACCTATTAGAATCACTGGAACACATTTAGTTGGGCCCCTTTTACTCTTCACACAGCACAGTCACATGGACAGACTAAGAAAAAGGAGATGAAATTTAAATCAACACATTGTTTTTATTACTAAGCTGCAAGAAAACTGAAGTATGCTGGAACCTTTGATTCTTGTTACTTGTCCATGATTCTCCCATCAACTAGCTAGCTACTTAGCTGTCTATGTAAGTATGCTTCTAATACTTGAATTCATACCAAATTTTGGTCTATGGCTTCAATTTTTGTCAGTACCAACTTTTAGGTGTCCAAGTGTAGGATGGTTTTTTTTTTTAAAGTGGGTAAACTCTTTTCTGTAGTCTTACCCAATGGGATGATCAAAGGAAAGCAAGCCAACACTTCAGAGTTCAGCTGTTAGCTCACACAAACCTAAATCCCAGACTAACTTAGAGGTTGAATATGGCATTATGCCACTGCCAAACAAGGTGTTCAAAAGTGTCAAAAGAGATGGCTGGAACCTTTCTAGAGGACAGTTTTCCAGAATACACAGTACCCTAAAATGTCATTCATGACCCTGAATACAGTACCCTCCCCATACGCAGGCCCAGCTGTTCAAAAGGAAACTCTCCATCCCACTTCTCTTGCTATGCTAGTATATACTAAATTTTGGCATACAGAACTTTCCCAAGCTATTAGGCAGATAGGTGACTACAAACCAATGTCCTGGTAACAGATTACTGGCCTAACATTTATCTTCCACACCCATTAGCCATACTGGCACTGGGCTTGTAATTATAAATTAAGATGTTTCATTTTCTAAGTAATCAATCTTGGGGAAAGATGATCCCTGGTTCTAACCACTATTCTACACCAAAACTCAAAAGGTGCATACTCCTTTCAAATCAGCACTATACAGAGATCGCACCCAAGGGCTTTGGAACAAAAGGTTAGTGACAAGGATTAAGGAGACAAAGGCCACTCCAACATGAGTTAGCCAAAGTTCTTTGAATACTTGTCTTTTACAAGCATGTACCCATACTAAATAAGGAAGGGAAAAAACAACAACAAAAAACAACCTAGGTACTAAAAACTTAGAAAGTACTAACTGGCTAGGCTTTTCCATCTTTATATATTAAATGCAAACTACAAATCATGCAAGGAAAAGGCTTCCTAGGGAGAGCTACTGAGTGTTTTAGACAAGCCACAAAGCTATTATTCCATCATCTGTGGCTTATAATAAGTCCTTTCAAGTGACCTTAGGCTAGCTCTACCCTCAATGGATAGGTATCTCTAACCACACAGGGTCTTTAACAATCTTGGCTTAGCTACTATTACAACAAAAAAAGTTACAACTTCGCAGTTTCCAAACATCACTTCCAATTCCAAGGTACCCTTAAATATTCTAATATAGAAAAAAAATTGTCTCAAACCATCTTATCAATTTTACTAAAAACACTTCAGGTAAATTATTTTTTTCATATCTTTCTAGGGAAAACAACTGAATGAATACTGGAATGTAATCTGCCACAAATTCTGTTCACTTTAATAAAAATATATATATTACATTTATGTAAAAAGGATATTAGGAGTTTTAAGCTTATTCTACATTTTTTCAAAAAAAAATTATATTCACGCTGATGTACATACACAACTAGGCTTTTACATCCAACTATATACTACCTAAAAAGCTATTCAAGTATTTTTGTGCAGTGTAGTCTATTCTATTAGACTCATAATTACATTAATGAGCAAGCTTTAAAAAAAGTCATCAATTCCCATTAACAGGAAACCTTAAATACAAAGTTAAAAATACCGAGTTTCCTAGAATAAATCTAAAAATTGCTTTTAGGCTAAGTAAGCCTTCTTAGTCACAGCCAAGGTCCTCAATATGTACTGTGTTCCCATCAGAAACTTCTGAGACCATACCAAGTTTGTTCTATCTTGTATACCTTTACATTTCCTTGCCAGTAATCTACACTATTTTCCTAAATACTAGTGTTGACCAACTCCACTGCCTTTAAGTACTGCTAAGCAAGTGCTCTACTCTACCACTGATCTACAACTGTAGCCACGCCACCTTCCCCCCTCCCCCACTTTTGCTCAGCAGGCATTGGATTTCATTAACTTTCTACAAAAGTACTTTTTACTGAAGGGAAAGGAGTACCTTTAAAGGGCTCTCACTATGAAACATATAGCCCAGGCTTGTGGTAAATTTTCTGCTCCTTTGTAGATAGATTCATGACAAGTCTTTGCTGCTATGCTCAGCTTGATTGAAATTATGTCTTGAACCAAAAGCAATCTCCTGGTTTTTTCTAGTCAACATTTGTTTCAAAACCAGTGTTTCAATTTTGTTTACAACTGGGCATACTTTAAGTCAATTCTTTCCTTCAGGTCTGATTTTGTATGCCTTCACTCTTTCTCAACTACTTAAGAGAATTTACAAGCATAGATCTAATTCTTAGTGTAGAGACTACTCCCACAAAGCATTTTATTTTTTTCCCTGTCCGATATTTTGGGCTACATATACATCAAGTCCTACTTTGTTAGTTGACCCTTTTTTCTCCTTTTGAGTCTCTAGTAAGAGGTCTATCTATACAAGGTTTTTGAAAGGCACAAATTAAAATATTAGGATCAACACTGATCTAAATTTAAGTTTTTTGAATTGTACCTCAGGTTAGGAATATAGTCCTAATAATGTATATATACAGCAGTTACTCATACTAGTAATTGCTAGCAGTAAGTTTACTGCTAGATACCTAGATGCCAAGATACCTTTTAGTGTTATTTCTATGGCAACTTGTTCTAAAACTAGCTGTAGCAATATCCACAAGTACAGTATAATAAACTTGTATTTTAAAAAACATCTGATTCAAAATACCTAAACAAAATCCTAAAGCAACCAGTAATATAGAAAACCTGAACTTACCAGAAGCAGGCTAAAAAATACTGGCACGCTAGACTAAATTCTAGTTTTAGTTCTACAGTTTGACTCCTGATTCCTCACTTCACATAGTGAGGCTCCTTTAGAAGGTTTAAGTGTTCTGTGCAAACCCAATAAAATTACAATTTGGGGATCTAATGTTATCAACATAGCTAGTTAAGTTAGCAGTATTGTGTAGTAGTGAAATCAATGACTAGCGGCTTGCATGATGGCTTCTAAAAGCATCTGTTCCCAAAGTTTCATGTATCATATGTATATAATCAGGTGAGGACAGCCATTCGCATTTTGTAAACATGATCAACTGAGCATTAACTTCTCCCATCCAGTACCTTTGCCCCTCATAAATGTTAAAAGCCGTCTTGGGGGGGGAGGGGAAGGGAAGAATTCAGCTTTATATTATAAATCGTCAGTATACATTTAAGTTTTTAAAACCTAAATGTTCTAAAGTACAGAGTAAAAGAATAAGCTGTCCAGAAAGCACACACTTAATTTCTCCTCTTGGGAGTTGTAGTATAAAGGGATTTTGAACCTTGATGGCGAGAATCCCAAACAAGAGTAAAATGAATTCTTTTTATTGCAAACAAACGTCTAAATTAATTTCTCCACCCACTTTCTTTAGAAAGAAAAAGAAATCAGCAGGCTAAGGAGATACCCATTCAAGAACTGACATGATTAAAAGATATAAATGGGTGACTCACAATTTCATTAGCTTACAAAGATGGTGGAGTTAACTACTACAAGCACACTAGTTATACAGTATTTTGTGGGAGAAGGGCATACAGACATAGCTAACTTCATATAGATCCCATTAGACAACTGGATTTACAACAAGTTTTTTTTTAATAAGAAATGGGCAAAGCCAGCTTTCTTTTCAGAATCAAAATGCAGAACAAATGGAAAATTTTATGGTATTTAACCTTCACAAGTTTGAGCCTCCACATATAATGCAACCAAAATTACATTTTTAACAGCCCTTCTACATACACTCCATCTTCTCAATCTTGGTTCCAAATTTTATCTTCATTCCCAATTTTTCCAATTCCATTGTTAAACAGAAAAAAAGAATAGCCTTCCCGGTTTGTCAGAAATTTCCCTTCCACTATTACCCACCAGTTTACAGAGAGGATGGAGTGTAATATGAGCAGTACAGAATCTTATGCAATTCATGAGGACCTTAGTCCTTCCATGAATCTGGTTGCTAACATTGCTATTTTATTGTGACAATGACTCCCGACTGTTATTCTCTGTGAGAAATGGGGGAGTAAATGCTTAATAAAAGACACCAGGTACAAAGCAACATTTTACTTTTGTTGTGATAAAAAAAAAGTCACATTTTACAGATAAAATGTAGAACCCTGAAATACTGACACATTCTCTTATCGTGCACAATGCTGAGGTTCTCTTACGATTCACTTTAAAACTGCAATTAAAAATGTACAAAAAAGAAAAGAAAAAAAAAATCAACCCACAAAGCTTCTAAAAAAGGAACCCGCAGGCACTTCCTCTTGTGGAATGTTTAAAAAGTTAGCCTACTAAAGAAAACAGTCGACTTCTTGTGAAGGTTTTGGAGAAATATGTATCAGTTCGTTTTATTTGGGTATTCAATAATATCCTTGGTGATAATGCTGACTCCATGGCTTCTGACCCCAGAATTGCTGTAAGAGAAAATTTTGTTTTTAAAGAAAAAAACATCAATAAGCCACTCAAATTGTTTTTAGGAAATGACAATGATCTAATTCAGAGTAATTGCTGGAAACAAATTTATACTTGTCACACTTAATTTCTATCAGACCACAGACTTAGTTTTAATTTACCAATTATCCATATTATTTACCAATACACATTACAAAAAGAAACAAGACTTGAGGGTTAGTTTATGTAATTAAAACTATTAAAAAGAACCTTATAGTAAAACATATGTAGTAAATATTACTTTATCTCAAAACTGTTAAACTCCAGCCTATCCATGGTTACAATTTATAACACAGTAATAGACAACTTGTTCTACTTAATATATATGGAACACTTCAATCCCTAAGAACTTCCATCTGAATCTTGTAAACATAAAGCACTATAATTTATGTAATCACTTAAGAAATTACTTACACCCTGCTGCCACTGGTTGTAGCCCTGAGATTGATTCTTGTAGCCACGATTGTTTCCTCGTCCTCTGAAGTTCTAAGAAAGGGAAAGAGATCTGTAAATGAAGAGCTCTGAAGCAAAGGTGGACACTTTTAAGGGGCATGCAGAAACCCTTTATACCCGTGCTCACTGATTGCTACTGTTAGTATCTAAAAAGCAAAGATCAATAGACTAAAATTGTCTCACAGCTACATCAATGCCACCTACAACTTTCTAGGACAAATTATAGATGTCAGCATCTTTTGGAGTCATTACCTGGTTATAGTTCCCTCTGTTGGGCATTCCACCTCTGTTGTAATTCCCTCTGTTGGAGTAACCACCTCGGCCAGGAAAAACAGGGCCACGGGGATATGGATAGCCGATTCCCCCACTTCCACCACCGCCACCTCTCTGTGGCATATTGCCTCTCCTATTATATCCACCACGATTCCCAGGAGCTAAATGGAAGCAGAATTTAGTTTAGTTCTGCCATACAAAAGAGTTCATACAGTCAAGTTATAACATTAGTGAGAAACAACTAATGCCACTTTATCTACTTGTGTACCTAGCGTGAGTTTAAAATTATACACTACTTGTACATGGTAGCATAGAATTATCTAAGAAATTAACTTCCTACTTAGCTATTTCACAATCCTAACTGTAAGATCCTCAGCTCATTTTTAAATTTCAATTAAGCAGAACACTAAAATTAACTTGCCTCCGCCTCTGAAATTGCCCCCTCGCATATTAAATCCTCCACGTCCTCTGTGGCCACCACCTCTGTTGAACTGGTTCTTGCCACTCTTATTTTTATTGCTCTTCTTTGAGCCAGTGTTTTGCTTCTTCTCTGGTGGGAGTGCCTTTTTGCTCTCTTCCTTATATTGCTCCAAGAGCTTTTGGGCCTCTTCCTTCTGAAGTTCAACATAGGTTATTTCATCAAAGCATTCAGCCACCTCTGGCAGGGTGAAGTTTCCTACAGGGAATAAAGTCAGATTAAACTTATAGAACTACTATTATCTCTGAATATCTGTTATTCTGTCAACCAATTACAAATGTGAAACATTTCTATTTACCAAGATTAATATCATCTCTAGAAGTACTGATGGTTAAGACACTAACACACAGACACACAGAAAGGAAAAAAAAATCCATGCCTTTCATTTTAAGGACAGCATGTTCTGGTAGGTCTTTCCCCTCTACTTCCGCTTTCTTCTGTGTCCTCTGCTTATAGTCTTCATCTTTTGGGCAAACTACAACAGCTTTTCGCTGGAAGCCTGCAAACAGGCACATTTTTCTCCTCTGGGCAGCAGCAGACACATTTGTCTTAAGGGGAAAAGTGAACAGTTAAAGACATTAATCTTATATCAATTAGCCTTTTTAAAAAAAAAAAAAAACAAAAACTTCAAAACTACTGCTTACCTGATCAAGAATAAAATTCCGCTTCTTGCGGGCAGCAATCTCAATAAACTTCCCCAGACACTGTGGGGCTCTCTGCAACAGTGTGTTCAGTTTTCCAGTATCTGCCATTTGCTTCTTAAAACCTGCCACCTACGAAAATGTTTTATTTTGTATACTTCAAGTTACATTTAATAAAAGTTTTAAACTACATACAGAATACCAGGTACCATTTTACAAGTAATTCAATTGCATCCTTTCATCATTGCTCCAAAAAGGGGGAGGGGGGCGGCTTTTCTCTTCAAATTGTTAAGAATTAACTTAGGCAGAGCAGTCACTGGAAGTTAGTTTCTTAAAGATTACTTAATATTCTATTTTGTTTTAGCAAAAATTCTACCCACAGATATTAATAATGAATGAAAACACAAGCCATGGTTAACCTCAGTTACTTTCTGAGCCCATTTATTTGTTATAGTGCTAAGATTAATGCCAGTATAGTGTGTACTAGTAGTACCTTCCCTCAGAATTATCCCTCCACTCTCTTCTAGACACTTTAAATTTCAGTTTTACTTACCATCATTTTGTCCATAATGGTATTTGTACCAAGAATGTTGTATTTCCCAGGATTTTCAGCTGCATGCTTAGTAACCCAGGTAGTTTTCCCAGCTCCTGGCAAGCCAATCATCATTACAACCTACAGTGGGGGAGGGGGCAAACAAATGATACTTTTACTCAATCATTCATCAGTAAGTATTAACAGTATTATAATCTACCCATCATTTAGCCTTGCTCACTATTATCAAACCATCAGCAGATACCACATTAAAAATAACTTACTTCACAATCCTTCTTCTCTTCAGGTCCCTTTGGTCCTCTAACTCGGTCCTCTAAGGGGACATTTTGGATAAAAGTACAGTCTTCAGGTATTGGAAAGTATGGCTTTTCCTTCTGACCAAAATTAAATTCAACTGCACAGTTATGGCAGAGAACATGTGGGAACAGTGGCCGGTCAGCAAGAACTTCCTTACTGATCTTGAAGGCAACACCAAGATCTTGTCCATTCTTCGCATAGGAGAGTTCAACTTCATCAGTTTCAAAGTTCTGTTGAACAGAATTTTTTAAAAACAGCTTGTAACTAACTTCAGAGCTTTCTAAACTTCAAGATACACAGAAGTTCATTCACGCTGCAGTTAACATAACATGTTTCAGGCCTTAGAGGATGTTTTTCGGGCCATTCTTATTTTTCTGTCAAAATGTGTTAGTGATCCTTGAAATGTCTTTTTCCTCAATTCAAGTGCTTTTGTTCCATGTCAAGTATATTCCTGTCACTAAACCTAGAGCTGGAGGCTGTTTCTTATCCACTCCCACCCTAAACTCAAGTTAGATGCCTCCTGCTGTGCTAAGATTTCACATGGCTGCCAGGTATTCAGATGCATACTCACACTTCACAGCAGGACCTGAGCCTCCTTTCCCAAGCCCCTCCTGTCTTTAACCCAGAACTAATCAATTTAATCACACTGATAGAATTTAATTTATAAATACAGAGAACTTACAGCAATGCATGTAATCACATCATTTTCATCAAACTTCTCTCCATAATCTTCTGTCTCACAGTTGCATGTTTTTATTCCTTTCAGTGAATACCCGTAAGAAAACTCTTCTTCACCTAAAAAGAAAAAACAAAAACTTAAAATTAGCGTCTAAACAGCCTAAAGACCCATCTCACCTATTTAAAATGTATGCTAAAAGAACCATTAGTGAGCAGACAAACTAAGAATCTGACAGATCTGCCTCTATACCAAATGCTTAAATGATTTACAGTCTGGTAGGATATATATTAAATTGACAGTTTACATGTCAAAAGTAGTCTATTTTAACCATCTTTAAGATTACAGAAGAACAAAGAAAAAGGAAAACTATCCTTGCCTGTACTTTCTAGCTGTAAAATAGTTAACACCAAATGGATAAAAATCAAAGCTTACAACACTTTCTAGAGCTCATTTAATACTGTAACCAGATCCTAAACATTTATGCTTCCACAGCACTGAAATGTAAACTTTACCAAGCAACATTCCACTTGTAGTTAGTGACCAGCCAATCCGAACTTCATGTATGTCAATATCTTTTGTATATAAATGCCTTACTGGGATCTTCTCTGTTACCTAAAAATGAAATAACATGATTAGGCTGTAAAACAAGACCATCCCTTGAACTTATTTCATTTGGGCTATGGGCCGCCTTCTTCCACACTATTAATACAAAGAGAAAGCATCCAATCTTTAGCTAATCACATTCCTTCCCCCATTCAGAACTAAGTTGATATATGGCACTAACAAAGGTCTGAATTAATGTAGATTTAAAGGAATAGCCCAACATAAGTTACTGCTTTATATTCTGATATCAAAAAAATTTAATAGAAAACAGTCTCCTGAGACCCTGAGAAGACTTAAGAGGTCCCTTTGACCTGTACAACCAATCAATAGTAAGTTCCTGAGAAGTCACAAAATTCCATTTACCTTCATCTCAAAACAGACTTTGCCCTTTGACACACCATAAGATGCTCTTCCTCCAGCCCAAAGAAAAGCAAAACTCTCCATAGTAAGGGAAGAAGCACTGAGGCGGTCTCTTGATATTTTAAAATGCAGATCACAGTTATCTGAAATCAAATGCCAAATTATTTTTGACATCCAATGTATTTCAGCTATGTAGACAAAATTTAGATGTTTCTCATATATTACTGCAGAGAACTTTTTATCATGCTTTTGTTCCTACTCTTATTTTGAGCCCCACTCCCACCAAGGCAGTCTTAATCATGTACTAAAGTCAACTGCCAATTAATACCGAAGTTTGAAGTGCTTTAAGTATGTAAAATGATTGAGACAATGCAACATCAATACATACCTGCTCTGCTCTTTACCTTGATTTAGAGGCAAGCAGTAGAGGACAGCAGTGAAGCATGCCAGAACCAGGTAGAATTTACCAGTGACAATAAAAACTGAAGGGACGCCACCACCAAATATTTTAGGCGAGCTGCTCATCCTGTGCTTTGTAGACTAACACCAGGGTCCAGAACCTTAACTCATTTCTGAAAAGTTGGAAGCCAGCTCAACCCACAAACCTGGCTCTAAACAGTTAACGTGTAGCCTTTTAGGTCTGCTTTACCCAACCTGGTACAGTATCACAACTAGGAATTAACTGCTGCCTGGATTATACAAATCCAGTCTTTAGCCTGGCCATCTCTGGGTCACTAGAGCTCATTATGCACAGCGTCTCAGAATTCTCACTCGCCAACTGATGTTACATTAGAAAGCTGTTGGTTATTATTGAATTCATCTAGTTTGAAATTCTCAAGCTTTGTACATAAAATTCCTGGCTGACTGGATCTAGAAACTCTACTTCCTATGTAGCAATGTTAACCACTCATTCCATCATGGCTAAAACACCTTGTGAATCCCAAAGTTCTTTACATTTCAGTAAACCACAAAACTTCCAAACCAGCTGTTTTCTCCTTTCTCTTTCTTCAAGACTTAACTGACTGTAAAAGGTATGCAGTCAGAAACCAGCCAAGTTTTACATTTAATTAACTCTCAGGACTCTGAACACAATTTATATAAGGAAACATGAGAATCAAGTTTTTAACCCCTTTCCACCCTGTGGAACCTTTAACTCTATTTAATGATCTATTTTTTTATTCTGTTCACACCTAACGTTAACATCCTTATCAAATACTAAACTAATAACGAACTTCCTGAAAGAATCAAAATACAAATCTGACAGCTAAAGCCCATTTCATGGTTTGCAATACTTCCTCGTACTCAATTGCAATCCAACTGGGTAAAGTAGCATATTTACAGCGCTGCCCCTGATACCATTCGCTGGTGAAGAAAGCGAGTGGCTCAGATAGCCACTGCTGCTGCCCCAGGTCTTTGGAAGAAATCAACTTAGTTTGTTAAAGCAGCAGCTACTGAACTGGAATTGAGAACAGAAGAGCAGTTATTGAAAAGGTAATATTACAATCCTTAGAATAGGGAATATACTTGTGTGCTAATGGGAAAATCATTAGTAATTATTCAACTAGCCCAAATAGCTCACTTAAAAGTTCCACAGAAAAAAATTATCATATTACCTATCTAAGGACAAGTTACAGGCAGGTTTTTAAAAAACAAGTTTCTGAAAGCTGAACAAAAATCGGTATTAGTTTTATACATCCCTAAGTTTTGAGAACTTCCAAGTCATAAAAGTGTTACCCATTAGTAGAACTTGTAAAAAAATACCAATACAACCTAAGTGGTGCTAAATATTAAACGACTGTAACCTGAACATGAGCTATTATTACCTTCCTGTTTTAAAACAAATCTCTAACGGGTTTTCTCTACTTTAAAGAGCACACTTTTCCTAACACTTAAAACCAAAATAACACTGCACTTAAAAAGAGCGGGAAAGTCCACTTCACTTACAAGTATCAAGACAAACCACTGTGTCATCGAAGTGTTCGTCTTCTTCTTCAACAGGTGGCTGAGGAGACTTGGCTCTGAAAGACAGAATTGTCTCCTGATACAGCTTTTCCCACCATGCATAAAGAATGGGTGAGACATGAAAACTAGGTTAGGATCCTCTACCTGCTGTACTTGTTTTCTTCAATGTACTCAAAATATCCTCGGCCATGATCTTCACGAGGTCTTTTAACACCTCTCTTTTTATCTCCTCCTTTCTGCTCTGTTTTGCCGTCTCCTATAACGACACACAACACCGCCTTAAGACATCGGGCCGCACACTAAATAGCGGAGAAAAGCACCCCTTTCTGTTTGGAGCCTCAAGAGCTATTACTGCTTTTCTCCCAGACTGGCCCGGTGACTTTTTAACCCACGAAATGAAGGGGAATTTTAAAAACATACAAATACGTTCATCAGTCTGGAATTGGCGTGGAGACAGTGACGCAGTCGAAAGACGCGACTAATTCTGCCAGCCCCAGGTTCCGGAAAGCGTTTCAAGGATAAAAACCGCGCGGCGATGCGGCCCGGGGCCCACGTGCGCCGCGCCGCGCT